GGCTATAAGCACGACGGAAGATGATAGAAGCTACCATGGACATCGGCTTTGGAGCCAGTGGGTGTAAATAGGATCGTCAAATCGATCAGCTAAACATCTCTAGGAAGGGCCAAAGCTGCCACACTGGGCCGTAATCGGGCTGAACTGAGCAGTGTATATCGGTCAATTTAATTTCGCCTAACGAACTCCTAATCGCAAGCTTTACTCAGTGTCTTCTATTGGCAGAGGTAAATATTGTGAGCAATATTAGTATACAATGTTCAATTCTACCCGAAAATCGAAAGAGCGGTTTTCTGATCGACATATTTTACGCTCTCTGCAGTGAACGAAATTTCCATGTTGTTCTGTTATAGTTGCTGGTAGGGATATCTCATGTACGTTTCCCACTGTCGATGATTATACAGGCAGCGCAGACAAATTTTCAGGCTTGCAAACTTGTTTGAGAAACGAAGGGGACCCCAGCTAAATTCGTTATGTATATCTTAACTAACTTGTCTTCGAAACGGTTACTATTAAAGTGTCTATTAGAAATTTTTCCTTATTCCGTCATCTTTTCGAAGGCGCTTTGCAGATCTTGCGGCGTTTGTTTCGCAACTGTATACGCGTCGGTATACATGGTGGTCGTATGGCTGTTGCTGTACACTATGTGGAATCGTTAATAAGATAAACGCTCGAAACGCATCAGGCCGCCTTCCCCGTTCTGTTCGCTGGTCGAGGTAGTCCAGCTGCGATTACAGTAGAACTACTAAAAATCAAATAGATGCGTACTTTTTATAACACCAATCGCTTATTGCTTAAAGTTGGGGGGCAATACGTATAGAAATACTAACTAATACGTTGAAAACAAACGCATATAGATAATTATACACATCAATATATGTATGATCCTAGTAGGCTTGCATAACGTTCACGTTACGTAAGGATTACTGTGTTTCATCAATTCGTTACCGGCTCACATGCTTCTATCGGGCATCTAATAATAATAATAATAATAGAGCAGTTAATAAGACACAAACACAGAAATATTACTTTTTCGAATAGGACAAGGCAGCCGGTCTCGCTGTTTCAGCCGGACTGGATAGTGGCGCGTATCCTGTGGGTTATAGCATTAGTGTCCTTTGTCGAAGAGGACAGACCCTCACTCGGACAGAATCATATTCGTCTATACATAAATCGAATACTAATAATAGCGCTAGTAATATTAATACTCTATTCGGATGTAACTTAGCGGTATTTCACTCAGCGATTGTAGCGGTGTTGGCAGCTGATGAAGGACGTAGTGGGAGGGCACACCATTGCCGCTGATGTTGACGCTGTTGCTGATTCGAATACTCTTGCCGTAAGCTGCGTAGATAGCTCGGTGTGAGCTTCACATTATGGCCACTGCCTCTACCGTATCCTCACTGTACTCACTACTGCCGCGCCCGTTTGCCGCCATCAATGCCCCGCTGCCAGCGGCATTAGCAGCAGCAGCAGGAGGAGCAGCAGTAGCAGGGGCAGTAGCGGCGGCAGCAGCGTTAGCGACGGGGCTCATCATCGCAATCATCATCATCATCATCATCATCATCACCAATATAATCATCGTCGTCGGTCGGTCGGTCATTCGGTTGCGGTCGAGGCGACCGGGGACTGGACGACAGAAACGACGGACGAAAACGGCCCAATGCCGTTTTTGTTCGATAACAAAACACTGATATTCAAAGAAAAAAGAAAAAAAAACTAAACAATGTGTGTATGTATGACAGCAACGTGTGGTGAACGCATTTATCCAACGGACGCAGCGGCACAACAAGATCCGATGATGCACTGCACGAGGACATGATGATGCACAAGTATGATGAACGGACTCTCGTTGCTTGTTATCTAACTGGCTGGCTTACTTGAAGGCACCAGGGCGCACTAAGCACATAGATACACATACACTCCGGAATCATTCACGTGCACACGAACGGATCGGGTGCTCTCTGCACAAATGGCAAAGAACGATCTGCGCCGATTAATACGTGCGCACAATAATTGAAAACTCCTCTGCTCAAACGGCGATAAAAGACAGTAGCAACCTATACGTATACTAGCTGGTTTAGTAGGAACTAGGAAACATTGCGTTGCTGCTGTTGTCGTTCCACAACAACTGCGTTTGTACGTAAGACGCACGATATCCTGCCACAGGGCGGCATTTTCCTTCTTGCGCCTCCGACCGCCAAACCCTAATCACTTCTAGGCTCTTACACCTTTTCGAAATGTTTCAAATATTCAAATTCGTTAGTCGTTAGTTGCTGTCGGGGTGCTGCAGTCAGGGAAAAGTTATTGGGAAAGAACATGAGAGGGGACCGTTGTGGCTGTGGGGTGACAACCCCTCAAAAGGACGCGAACAAAATGGCAACAGTACGAAAAAGAGAGACTATTGCAGGAGATTGGCCAAATAAACAAGAAAGAGGGATATCCTGGCCTGGAGCGAGAGACAGAGGCAGGACGAATTTACCTATAGAAACGGAAAAGTGTAGGAAATGCGAGTCATATACAGAGAGACGGAGGGGAAAAGGAGATGAGGGGATTAGCTAGGTAGGGCCAGAGAAGAGGCGCTCAGAAGGAAGATCAAGCGAAAAATAACGGTGCGAAACGTTTCAACGAATGATTGTATCGGTCACTTCATGTGTGACAGTGCGACACACAATGGAAACCCAAAAAAACATAAGAGCAACTTAATGATTTTGAAGACAAGAATAATGACGCCGTCCACTGTATACCAGAACGAACTGACGCCGGCGGCAGCGGTGGTCGGGGCGGGCTGTATTGGTATGATTGTTGGTACACACAGTTGGCTAGACGCGAGAGAGGTATTGTTAGAATCAGTAGTCCCTAGTAGAGAGAGCATTTTTGCTGAGGCTAATAGAAGTCGTTTGCCTTAAATGCTATCGCTGTTATTGCTATGTTTGTTGTAGCAGTATTGGCAGTAGAGGGTAGGAAGCACTCACTGGAGCGCCAGGGACTCGAGGACCGCGCGGCGTCGTTTTCTTCCTTTTCGCACTTTCTCTCCGCACTCTTTGCAGATTTCACCGCTTCAACACTCCACTATCTTCAATCCAACACTCGTTGTGCTGTTGGCCTGTTTGATTTGGCGTTAGAATAGTTATCGTCGTTGTCGCCGTCGTCGTTATCGATGGTAGCGCCGATTTCGGCGGCGCTGGCGCTTGCTAAAAGGCGCTCAGCCCTTGGCACTCGACTCACGGCAGTACGCGGAGGCGCTCGCTCTCTGCTTGTCTCACTCACTCTTGCGGTGTGCGCGCGGGCGCGTGATATACACCACAGCACAACAACACACCAGCGACAGAGCAGCGCGCGCCGTCAACGACGACAAAACGCCGGTGGCTGCTCTTGCATCGGTCCCCGTTGTCGCGCTCGTCGTTGTATTGGTGACGGTGGTGATGGCAGTGGTGCCGGCGGCAGCAGAGGGAACTCGCTCTCGCAACGGAATGGCAGTGGTAGCGACCGTTGCCACACTTGCTATTACTGCTTCTATTGCGACGAAATGAGAGAGCGACATGCGGCCGCAACAGTGTACGCTGGCCCTCGCGCAAATTCTTGCAAAGGCCGCGGTTACGTTCGACTGCTGCCAGCAAGAGTGGCGGCGGCGGCGGCGGCGGCGGCGGCCTGAGCGAATCGCAGCTAACAGAACGAACGCTCAGTGGCAGCAACGTCTGTCGTTGCCGCACTGTTGCTGGTTTCACGAGACTGAGAAAGGAGTATACGGCCGGTGAGAGGTCACTACGATTGTCGCTGCTAGAAAAATGCCGATTGCTACACAGCAACAGCAGCGAAAACGCAAGCGGCACTGACGAAATGATATTCACACGGCGCACAGAGGTGCTACGATGGCGGGGGCATACTGACCACATCCTGGGGCAAACGCGTAAGACAACGGGAGTTCAACGGCACCATCAAGACGACGCGGCGTCACCTAAGACCATAGAGACGGCAGAAACATCGAGTGGTCTCGCACCGCGCGTCGAAGTACCGCCGTGCATGTAAAATCTGCTCGGTACTTAGCTCTTCAGTCATGGCTCTAACCGGTCAAACATTATCGTTAATACTGCTTTTGCTGCTTCTCGTTTTGCAAGTGCTGCGCCAGCCACAAGGCCGACCGTCACGTGAATGTAGGCCAACAAAACGACAGGCGAAAACCTGGCACCGTTCGAGGTAAGTCGCAACGAAAGCTCAGCTGGTTCCAGGCCTGGTGTCGATTTAGTTGAAAATAGCAGTATCCAGTTGCCCCACGGACGGTAGCCACTAGAATACACGGACTATACAAGCATGCAGTACTGAGCACTGACGCTGACAAGAAGAACGCGACGAGAATGCGCGCTCGTATCGCTGCTCACTGCCGTTTCCGGCTATCGCTAAAACGTTGCCTTCCGCACGTCGAGCAGCGTCTTGTTTCTGAGGGTTAGAGAGTAGCAGAGAACGGCACATGTTCAAAGCGCGTGAGCCGTTCGGGGGTGGCGCACGCATGTTGGCAACGCGAAACACGAGGCTAGCATAATGGTTTGACGTATTAGCTGGGCATCGACGCGGCCGCTGCTCCAGCAGCAGATGAGACTGCAGAGCCAAAAGTAGCAGCAATGGCATATGATCAAAACTTGCAGTTTTGAGCACCAAGCAACAGCTAGAACATATCGAATTGACACATATCATTAGGTGGCTAACTGTACGGTCATGGCGTACTGCGACGGATCCAACTCGACTGATGAGTGCACCATTGACAAGCAATACTATCAGATATCGCCTACTGTGATTTGTTTAGATAGGTGAACGAAACTGGACAAAAAATTGACCAAATCCAAAGCTGAACTGTATTGGTCCAACTTCGTTTCGCTTAGCTCCAGTATACGTCGATAATCGTATAGAAGACATATCCGATTTTCACTGCACGCACAGACTTACTATCAACTCGTACACTCAGTGACACACGCACCCAGTTGTATGTTACATACTCTACTCACGGTGATGGCCGCGGGCGTCGTCGACGATGCGCCAGCGAACACATTCGGCCTGCCATGGGCCACGGCAGGATGTCGGTCGGATGTCGACGCGCCGGGGGAGATGGGGGATTCGGTAGGCAGAAGGTGGCGGCGGCAGCAGCAGCAGCTGCTGCTGATGTTATTTGTCGTTGGATGGAACAAACGCGCCGCCGGTGGAAGCGGCGGCGACGGCTGGTAGACAGACAGACAGCGCGCGTTGTTCGGTCGTCACTGCTGTACTAATAGCACCTGCAGCTGCAGCAGCGGCAGCACGACCATGTCGTCGTCCGTACCAGCGCACGGCAGCATGCAGCACTACAATCCGCCCAAGGCTGCTGCTGTTGAAGGAAGGCAGGAAGCCAGCCAGCCAGCCAGGCTGCCTGGCAGCAGCAGGCGAGCCAGACCGATACTCAGGGCTGGCCGATACCCCGTTAGCCTTACGCCTTCCAAGAGCAGCGGGCCACCGCCGATCACGGCAGCACAGATAGAGAGAGAAAGAGCTAAAGAGTGAGAGAAAAGAATGCGGACGGCGAATGATAAAGAACGGAGAGAGGGAAACAGAAGAGAGCTAACGAGTGAGGGAGCACTACGCGAACACACGACGGAACCCACCGACCGACCGCCGTCCGACATTGCTCTCCGTCGCCAGAGGGCGCTCGTTGCCAGCGACCCGCCATAACCTGGCACCCACTGGCCGTCCAGCTAGCCACCATTGACACGGCACAGTCACGCACTGATTGATAGACTGAGGGACCATTAGGGATCGAGGACCGACATTAGGTCGCTTCTGTTGATCTTTGCGTTTAGATGACTTTAGGGGCGCAGACCAACCTAAGACATGAACCCCAGAGAAATCTCAAGCCCCTTGAGAAAGTTCGAAGAGCAGCGCCAGCCTGGGTTTACTTTGAATAACCCCCACCAGCAATCCATATACGCAGCAAATAATATAAGTAACTGCTAAAATACTAAGCCTATACCATCCTAACCTAATCTATACCGTCATCCTTGGTTCTGTCTCAAGCACTGACCGCAATTCGAGTAGGTTAGTAAACCAAAATTATTACGTACGCACCTTTCGTGCGTACTGCAGCAGCGGCGGCCGAAACAGCCGACGCGAACTGGAACAGCGGCGTGTCCTAATCGGAGTTTGCCGCTGAACTCGATGGTGCTATGCAGTATTGCATTATTATATCTGCCTTCATAGAACTAGAACGTTACGAACTGCGTGGCGTCGGCGAGGCTAGCGACATTGGCTACCGGGTACGGCCAGCTGGTAAAGCCAATGACTGACTGAGGGTGCCCTTCTTAATCGCATGGCCATGACCTTGCCCGACACTGGTAACTCGTTGCCATCGTCTCCTAATCATTTCTGGGTAAGTATCAACTGGTGGTCAGTACTGGAATCAGTATATAGCAACCGTACGCTGAACCTTGAAAGAGCAAGATCAGTTAGCATAACAATGTTATTGGTGTTCTCGTTGTCATATCAATCGCCTGCACGGGAGCACTACGCCTAGCGCACGATCCACTAGAATGGAGATCATAGGCCAAAATGGCACCATTAGTATCGATTTTGCTTGTTCTAATGTTTCAGTTTAGATAGTTAATCGAATTAGTCTCTCCAGTTGTAAGCTCTGGAAGTGAGTTCCGTCAACGCTGGAAAGACATTCTACTGCGTAGTTCGGATGGTTAGTCATCAGTGAGGTTTGTAGTGAATATGTTTTCTATAAAATGGACGTAACTGCCCCAAAGATGCTCGCGCCCAACGATACGCGAGCGTATGTTATATAACACGATGATCAGATGAGGCATAACGCTTTCCTCTGTACTATATTCTCTACCATGATAATACCAGACGTTGAAATGGGTTCGACGGTAAATCTATCGCTACAAACGGGCAATTTGGTTTTTGATAGATGCAATTTTTTTTAGAAGTTCACGTTTTAGAAACTTAAACGTGATCACACCCCCATCGAATTTTGTGCCATTAAAACGACACCGAAATTAGCCCTGACTATATAAGCAGTAGCTTTTTTACAAGATAGGCCATTTTGGCCGGCTACAGTTAGGGTACGTACACGAGTAGTATAGCCTGGTCTATTGTTATGAACACTGTATAAGGAAATGGGAAAGCTGCTAAGTATCAAGGTTCGTTTAATATGCTGACCGGGAAAACCAGCCGACTCAATGATAACATGTTTCTTCGAAGCATGTTAGCGAAATACCTAGACATGAGACGTCGTGATCGCAAAATAGATCTTTCGTTGTTCTAGCATTAGAGGAAAAAATCTTAAAGAACCCTTGGAAGTTCGTCCGTAGCAGAACAAATTGAATCAATCACATTTCTAGTTTACCAGGAGTCGAAAATAGTCATCGTTGGCTATGAAGGGACCCTAACAACTAATGGTTCCAAATTAGCTCCTCAATTCAGGACCACGCAGTGCAATCTACTTCCAGTTAGCTGATTATGTTGCAGCCTGGGGAGGCATAGCATGAGTAAGTGCACATCCCCTGCGTAACAAAAATGTGTGAGATTTCTTTAAGTCAGCGCGTTTGGTACAATGTGCTGAGAGCAGCAAGCAAGCAAGCCTATAAGAGGCAAAGTAGAGTCTACAATTTGAGGAAACTTTTTATGCGATATGATTTTGTCCTTTTTTTCTGTAAAACATACTCAGATACGTTGAACTACGTAGAAAAACAAACAGGAGAACATGAAATACGAAAAAATATCTTCAGTGACGTATAACACCGAATATCTAGGCTTGCTTGAAAACTATCCATATTTTCCAGATTTTAACCAACACTCTATTTTTTTCTACTTTGGTATATATATATATATATATATTCTTACTTGCATATGTATTTAAGGGATAAATGAAGAAAGGTTTCATATCATTTCAAGCTAAACTGTAAAGTTGGCTCTATCTAGACTAGTCACCGAGTACCCTAGATAGCTCCCAACGTAGTATTTTTAGTGTTATATTTGATGTCGTGTGCTAATTTTATTATTAAAAAAAATTAATAGATTTTTCAAAGAAAGCATTTCATATGAATTAATATTCGATCTCCAAGGACTTGAGAAGCACTTTTAGGCCTTTTTAGTTTCAGCGGTTTATGGCTTTATGTGTGTTTCACTTAGACTGCCTATCATTTGTTCTTTCTTTATTTATTTATTTATTAGATGACAAAAAAGCGACTACTCGGTTATGATACGGGGCCTATTTGAGTTATTTCTTAAGTCGGAAACCTTTTTTAAACATTTGAAAACAGCGTTTTTTAATTTCTACGTCTGCCGTCCGCGTAACAGATGAATATCTACATAACGAAGTCTAATACTTTTCATGTTTAACGTCGGCTATTTGAGCCGTTAGCCGTAGCTATTACCTTAGATGCTTAACTCCCATCACAAAGCGAAGCGTGTCTAGACCCAAATTACATGCCCCTGAAATTACCAGGTAGCCAGGTAGGTTACTCATTGTGCTCTTACGGGTGCGTGTAACACAGCGTTTTGTAGTAAACTGTTTCATAGACGAAGTCTAAATGGCGCGAACCAGGAAGAAAAAGAATGTTGGCATGTCTGGGTCTGAATCGAGCCGGCACGTTTTTTTTTTAGCAGAGTTAATAAATGTTGTTTTGAGCCCATTAGACAATTTTGGCTTTACGCGGATAGGCAAGTAGCTCTAAGTAACTTTATTGGCTCTCTGATTTAGATAGAGTTTCGATAGAAAATGTTCGATTTAGATTACGTCAGTCTAGTTTTTGATGAAAATAATGACGATTTAATGTTGCAATCTTTAATCATACGTTCTAATCCTTTCCTTAGTACTAGGTACAAAAAGGTCTCACACTAGAGTTCTGATACCTATTCGAGGTACCGAGCGAGGTAATACATGATACATACTTGCGTACACTTCCATGCACGCCTGTTTATTTATGAATGCACGTAGAAAACACGACATTACTTACTTGTTTTTGCGGTTCTACGCTATTTTGCGTAGCGAACTTCATTAGATACTTTGAACTACTTGAAGAACTACTCTGGTCGAAATTCAGCACTCGATTCAGATCCACTGCACTGCTTTTCACTCAGGCTCTCACTCTGTTTCGATCCGTTGTTCCCATTCAGAAAGTCGGCGAAATATATTGCAAAATCCATAAGCGGCGGACGTGAATCATAATGAATTATCATTGAGTTTGACATGTTGAAGTAACATCAACGGCGAAACAGGTTTCATCTGCTATGGTCTAGTTACAGCCAGAGATACTTATAACCGATAGTATTTTTACACAATTACAGAACAGGAGCAAGCAAATAAACTGTAATCTAATTATAGGTACGTGGCTTTTCCTTGTTTTAGCCTAGAAATTTAAGGTTAAAACAAACAAGATTGTACAGCCGGACTAGACAACACATAGATCTGCAATAAGAGTACAATGTGGCCGCAATATCTCCAGAGTAAATGATTTGGAAAACAGTACATATGTTGCAAAAACAAACTAATCATGCATTCTATAAAGGTCGTCTAACAGAAGAGAGCCGCAAGGAACACCGAAACTTCGCTAAGTAGCAAAGATTATAGTGGTAGCTAAATAATAGATTTGATTTGTTTTTCCGCTTACCTAACGCGATGATGACCGCTAAAAGCTTACATCATAAAAAAAACTGTCACACTTTCCTACGAAGCAACGATAAAGCTACAAATGAAAATAATGTAAAATGACGGAGGAACAAAGTGAGACAGACCTCTTATGATCAGAAGTAAATAAACAAAAAGTGATCCGTTTTAATTAGCTCTACATTCAAACAAGCTTAGATCGAGCAGTACGAGCTTTAGGCATCACACGTCACTATTGCAGACGTTATTTTTGCCGTTGGTATACTCAGCTTGAACATTTTACTGAACTGGTTTCGTTTTCTAGTCTGGTCTTATTTCTTTAGTTGACTATAGGACTCATAGAACGACAGATACCATCAACGATAGAGCCATGGACAAATAGAACTGAAAATATTAGAATAATATGCCCTTCTATATCGCCACGATTCTGTCATAAATCTTTTTACTTTTTCCACTCGTGCACACGTAAAAAAATGTGTATTTGTTTATAATTTTTGTTCAAACGTTATTACTTGTTGTTAGCGTCTTTGCAAGAGCGTCAACTGACTAATTCGTTGCTAATGAACAGTCTCGCTTATTAAATTAAGCATTTTTTTTGTAAGTATACACATTTAATAAAAAAAATATGGATTTTTATTGGTGTTTTTTTCATAGTGGAGTGTTTATACTGTATACATAATTTTATTCGACT